CCCACCCTCTATTATTAGGCAGGGTACCAGCCCTGGAGCAACAGTTTGCATTTGGATGGTGAGAAATTCATCCCGGAAAACCACAGATTGCCACTCATTGTGTCCAGAAGTCTCCGCATCTTGTCAGCATATTCAGATAACAGGATTTTGACATATGCCTACTCTAGGCCTTTAAAAAATTTCCTTGTGATCAGGTAAGTCCCCGTGTAGTCAGATGACTAAAAGGAGACTTCCAAAAGAACATCTATAATAAAACTGAATGGGGATGGAGAGAGTGGGCATCCTTGATGAATACCACTCGACGGACGCAGCTCAATCACTTAACCATAGGCTCCAACGTTCCTACAAGTGTTCGAGTAAGCAGTCTTCAATGGGGTGATGCACTTACTCGGTGCCCCTTCCAGTGACAGACAATGCCATATGATATATCGATCGACGGAGTCAAATGGGGCCTGCGTTTCAGAACCTGGTGGAGTGTGAATATTTGGCCGGTGTACCCACAGCCAGGTCCAAAGCCTGCCTAGTTTTCCCGGCCTTGCTGTTCCAGAGCTCCACCCAGGCGTTTGATGAGTACAGGATATAGAATCTCAGACACTACGTTCGTCAACCTGGGTCCCATGTGGTCAGCACGAGAGGACGCGTATCCTCTCTTCGAGACTGGGATAACCAGTGACAGACCAGTCAGAGGGGATCTGATTTGACTTCCATACACTAGCTAACACGTTAATTAGCCTAGCTAACAACACTCCACCACCGTCCTTATGTACCTCAGGAACCTTAGAGCTCTCATCGTCGACCTGAATTCGCAATGGTCTCGTTCCTGAGGTTTCGCCATGTCCACTGCAACGTAGGCATATACGTGCTTAAACGAACGCGTGGTCGCCATCCAAACGCCTACCCCAGAAGGAGCCTCAGCCTTCAGCTGACCATCTCCAACGATAACTGATAACATTGTGGTCTCTCTCAGTTCATCTCTGAGTTGAACTTAACGCCGCGTTGGGCAGTGTCTTCCCTGATGTCTGAAGTTTGTGCCGGCTAGGGAGAAAGGGTTGTTTGAGCACAATTGTGATGGGTGACCGCCGTTATCCATCTACTAAATCTCTACGACCCACTTGATCTGGACACCAGACACGAATTTTTTACGGACACAGTACTTCAGACGATAGACAGGATATCCCATTCATTGCAACAGGAGGCATGAAGGTCTTTTCTTGGATTAAATCAAGCACTCGTAGGCTTATCCAGCCTGAATGGCCAGCTGGGAACCAACGGACGGCTTCTAATAGCACAAGCCACTGCAAAATTTACAAGGAGGTCGGTGATGGATGGACAGCAGGAGTTGGAAGCGACGGAGTAAATTACCAGGCACATCTGTATAGAACACTGTGAGGAGGGGAATAATGAAGCAGTGTAGCTCAGGATTTTCAAAATGACTTCAGTCACGTGGAGAGGGATAACACAAATCAGGTGGTCACTTACAATGTGGGGAAAGGGAACTATATGGAAGTCGAACCTCTTTAAACCAGAGGAAGTTTAGGGGGCTTAAATCCTAATATATCCTCAGGAATCGACAGCATCACACCTGAAAGTACTCGAAGAACGTGCCAGTGTTCTGACTGTTCTATTAGAAGACCTCCTGGGATATTCGTTTTTAGAAGCCAGGTTGCCGTGCCACTGAAGAGGAGTCACCGCCTTTCCAGTATTAGAGATAGCAGCAGACTACTTGCCCATAACTGCAGGCCAATCTCCTTAGCCTCTTCAGTTACCAGTGTTATGGACAAAGTTGTGATCCGTTTCTCGGCCACCTACTTAGACGCGAGAACTTATCCGACTGTCAAGTTGGATTCCTACTGAGGAGGCCACGTGGCGCCAACCTGTTGATAGCATGGAGGAGTCGGACTCCTGACGAATGGAAACACCGCGCCCACATTGGGTTACCTGACTTTTCTAAGGCCTGTGATAAGGTCGTCGTTGATATCTTGTGTAAGAGACTACAGCTCATGGGGGTACTTGTAAAGTTACTCAGTTGATTTGGGGTCTGCCTTACCACCAGCAGCAGTCGGTCAGCAGGTTCCTCCTTATTTAAGTGGTTTCTGACGTTGAGCGGGGAGTCTCGGTCCCCTATTATCTATGGTTTTATAAATGACTTGCTAGCGAGCCTTAGTTCCCACTCACCATTGTATGCTGATGACCTCAAGATTTGAAGAGAGATACAAGAGTAAGTGGATACCTTGGTCCAACAGAAGGACCCTTCCAAAATCGCATATTAGACAGTTGCAAATCTGCTTCCTATCAACTCTGAAGACTATAGGGCGATGATCACAGACAAAGACAAGTGCTATTCTAGTTAGTACTTCTTGGAGGAGACAAACATTTAGCACCCAAACACTAAATAAGACCTGTGGATCACACTAAGTGGTTCAGGTAGAGCTTCTCCGCCTTATCGGATTGCAGCCAACAAGATTCACGGGGGCTGAGGGTTTCTGCCTTGGACTTTAGAGAGTTTTGCTCCAGGCCTTCTCACTACACAATCCTGCTAGTGACTTCCCCATACTTGGAGAACATTATCACACTATAACGGGATCAGAAAGGAGCTAGAACAGGTGGATCGGGCTTCGGCACGAACCTTATCTGAAACCCTTAGCTGCTCTTAAGCTTTGCCCGATGCCATCCAGGGGGACCAGTGGGGATACGATAATGGTTTATCATATTACCTGTAACCCTCCTCAACCTAATAGATCGTCCTTAAACTTTGACCAGAAACATCACCCCATAGGTCATCCTTCCAGATTAGAACATGAGACATCGCATTCAATGATCCGCTCTAACTTGTTTGCACTTACAGTATGTAAACTGTGGAACTGCCTTCCCCAAGAGGTTATCACTTCTCCCTATCATGATTTTTTTCAAAAGGAGGTTCGATGCACTCATGAAACCTTCGGCAAGGAGGTATCGCAATTAAGAAGCCACTAGTTGTCTAACAAAACATGGATAGCTGCGCTAACCATAGCACGTTAATCACTTGATTGTCTGTCCTTTCGGATTTCTTTGACCCGAAAAAACAAATGAACATTCCAGGTGAAGGATGTATTCCATTAAAACAGACACAGATTCCAAAGAATAGTTGTTCACTATTTCTACAACGTAAAGTTTGAATTTTGAAATGCGACAGCAATTGGAGTAACCTTCGGGTTTAACAACTAGGCGCACGTTTAATATTGTTGTTTCGAGTGATGACGGACAAGAGACTAAGGTCCCTGACAATCAGTACTAATGTGGTTAAGCGGTAAGCAAACTATGGTGCACGTTTTTTACTCAGAGAAGAATTATAAAGAGAAGTTGAGATATGAGGAAGAAGTGGTTAAATATACGGAAATACATGAAAACAAAAAAAGAGCTGAAGCTGATGAACATGACATCAAACAGGCGGTATAATTCACATACATGCTGACTGTTGCAACGAAGAAAGCAATTTTAGATGAGTCCAGGATGATGGTTACTGATTGCCAATGTAGGCTTGGGAAAGCTATTAAAGAGCTTGAGTGTGCAGCTGAAGTAAGTGTGCCTTAAGTGTGGATCCTAATCTGTCCGTAGGAGTGTGAGGGAGAGTTTAAAGACACAGAGGAATACAAACAAGCAAAGGCTTTGTTGCAGGAGTGCTCAGGTATATGTCCATGTAAATGAACTGCTGTGTAGTTTACTATACAATATAAATGCCTTTATTCTCTTGACTACTACCTTATTCACGATTGTTTACATTTCATTGCACAATTACTCTCATCATGTGTTTTTGCGAACTGAAGTGTGCATGAATACCTACACCTATGAGTGGAGCAAACGGTTGTTGTCCTGGCTAGTACTAATCACGACAGAACTGAAACGATCATAATTTCTACATTGAAGTGGCCAGCGAATAGATACATCTTTGTCTGTTGCTTTCAATGGGGGCAACCGATATGAAGCCCTGGACCTAGGTTTCGTGCTTCTTGGCACTCGGCGAATCTGCAATCTCTTCGGAACTGTTGTTCCGCTTGCGAATGGAACCCGCGTCACCTAGTGCCACGGTCAGACGTAACCACGACTGACCTCCTGTAAGACTGGGTTAGACGCGTTGATTGGTCACTGAAGGGTAACTAACTTCATATTGTCTAGTCCTAAGTGCTGATCGAATTATAGTCTGGTGGCAACATTGCAAAATGACCGATAGAACTCGATCAGCACTTAGGACTAGACAACATGAAGCCGGTTACCCTCCAGTGACCGATTTATTTATATCCTTTGGCTATTGAGCTTCTGGTTTGAAATGTTCTATCGACTAAAGTACAGATTAAGGGGTGTAAGCTATCTTTCGGAGCTTTTAGTTTATGTAAAATTGTCTTAAATGTAGTGGGTGAAAAACCTGGGATGTCTGAGTGTGCTTGTCGGTGCTCGTAAACAGCGTGGAGCATTTCACATTTAGTCAGGCAATCAGATTCGTGAGAAAAATAGTAAGCTACTGGCCTGTTAATCCTTAAAGAATTTGGATCTCTATTCTGTCTCTCTGAGAGGACCGGTATTTCACGGGAAGGGCTCCTCCGCGGTTTTTGTATCTTTTTGAAGGTAATTAATTCCCGAAGGAGCAAGAAACTACAGGAATCAATGACTAAGCTGATATACGAAAGACAAATTATGATAAGAAGGGGAAATGGTTTAGCCTCGCTAGTCGCTCTTCACAAGGGGGGTATGTAATGCATGTCACCACTCAAGTGACCGACAGACTAATTTGTCAGCTTTTTGAGGTGTGAACTAGCTGCTTGCCCTCAATATTTAAGTGAGGTCTTACATAATTGTGGTGATGATTCAAGCACCTCCGGTACTTGCAATAACGTAAGAAAGGAAAACTTGGGGTTCCAGAATAGTGCCCTAGGGAATGCCGCTAGTGACACTGCCGTGAAGTTAGTATACTATTCACACCTTTTTCCTGTGTAAATATTCCCTGAATTGAAATCCACTCCGCAACCTGCATATCTGTGCGCACACCCATTGTACGAAGGCTGATGTTACTACCTGGTTGCCTAAACTACGATGGGTTAGGTTGGAAGTCAACTCCTTAAACCATTGGATCACAACTCCACATTCCCTAATCCAGACTTGAATCTTATTATCAATACCAATTATGTAAACCTTCTTCAAACGTCTTGGTGATACTCTCTCGAAAGCCATGTAACTAATTGACGGGGACTATTATGTTCAGGCGTTTTTATAGTGCCGTAACTTTTTTAGACGGACAATTAACTAAGTAGGCAAACAAATTTGTGGGTTTAAGATGAATTGGACTAAGCAGTGTGATACCCCTCATGTGGCACACAAGTATCACTCCTATTCCATGTAACGGTCTTCTGTAAAGTGTCACACCGTTCCACAGAATACTTCGGGAATTAGGGTAGCGGATCATATATGTATCCTTTTGGTGGTACTGTGGAGGCCTAATCGATCTTTGGTAGTATCAGCAGTACGTGATTCAGTAATCAAACTGGTTTACGGTTCGGTGCCAGGTGACCTTCCAGTAGCAACATTTAAGGACTGATGAACAAATGTTAGCTTACAATGATAACCATTTTTTGAAAGTGATGAACTGCATATTCAGGGCATCGTTTGTTTCCCATGTTGAATTCTAACGTCTCAATAGTCTACTCAGATTCACTACAGTGTGAATTCATTATGGTCTTCCAGCGATAATTAAGCATCTAAGATCCTCTGTTTATGCCTCCTAGTAGACATTGAATGCTGTATCCAACACTTCCAGTGCTGCTGATACTTCTTAGATAGCATTACGTCATCGACTATAGCACGCATGGATAGGCGCAACTTGAGTAGCGAGCTGATGAAAAACATACAATGTCTGCATAACTCCTATGGATGATGTCGCGCAACAAAAATTAATGAGATCTGAAGGATGTGAACCTAGAGGCTGACGAGCGATACTCGGCGATAGTGACGTCCCAGTGATTTGTTGTGCTATAACTGGAGTAATGGTTCTTTGCATGTAGTTATTCAACTTTCAGTTAAAATCACGAGACAGTAATGTTCTACTAAAGCTCACCCCAGACATCAAGAAGTAGCGTGTTTTAATCCCAGTTCACCTAGTAATCGATGCTCAATCTGCTTGAAAATATAGTTCCCATGAAGTTCCGACTAAAATTTGTTTGTAGTCTGTAGACTGACAGTCAATTATAGGGTAAATGTCCACCGTGATGGTAAGAGCCTGCGTCTACAAGTTTCGAGTGAAGTGAAGCAAGAAGGATTCAACTTCAGACCCGAAAATGTTCCAGACTTTGAATGGTCGTTTTTTCTTACACAGTATATCTTTGTTATACTACCTTAGTTTCCTTGGAATTTGTAGCATCGAAACTATATGGTACTGTGACAACTACTCTATTGCTTTTGTAAAGGGTGAATAACATGAAATTCATTATTGGTAGATCAGTAAAAATAAAACAGTAACATGAAGTCCTAGGAGTAAATATATCTTGGTTATTCTCACGTTAACTCTTCTAGCAAAGCCCAACAAAAAAGCAACAACCTAAGGTTTATTTAACTTGAATGTGATGAAAACGCTTACAAGATATTTATAGTGAAATGATGGTAACTAATTCTGTTGACTTCCGAAGGAAATATTGTTCATACAAAGGTGGGCTGGTTCAGTATGTCACTAAATGATTGAAAAATTATCTAATAAGCAAATTTACTTCACAAGTTCGTAAGACTGAAACTCCTATCTACGTTGCATGCCTTTAAGAATACTCACTTTTGTTTTAGGAGTGTTTATGAGGATAAAACTATCGTCAGACTTTCCGATGATTATTTTACCTAGGCAATCTAACCGGTTAACAGTACATACGTGTTTCAGTTCAGTTGGCCACTTCACAGTAATATGCAAAGAGCAAGTGGATAGGAAAGTGTGTGGGAATATGGAACAGGTAAATAAAAGTTAGGAAAAATCCACAGACTCAAATGTGACAGTGAATAGGTACGGGTCGTTGTAACAGACTACTCAACCATTGGTTCTCATCGTCTTGAAGACTTCAGCCAGGCAGCTTATATACAAAAATTACATCAACAGTCAGAAACTTTACGAATTAGTGTCACATGTTGGTCTGGCTGCCTTTAGCTCCCAACCCAATTTTGCTGCAGCTAGCATAGTTTATAGGTAGTAGACAATAATTTAGCAGGCAGAACTTGGTTGTACGTTTTCAGTTTAAATCTCTCCCTAGAACTGCTGGATTTCTACGTTACTCATTTACCAGTTCCATGACAAGCGGCTGGAGCTACCAAAGTAATGTCTAAACATCCTCCATCTTTAACGACTATTTCACAATCATATAGATGAGAATGAACTCACGCTTTCATAATATTTGAGTAACTCGTGAGATCTAAGATATATACATTGTTATCTCTGTAATTCATCTCACACTGTACGCATCAACACTTCAGGTTACTCCATATACAATTAAACCTTATGTACAGAATATTTTAACCTTATTAATCGGGCTGCATGTTTGCCTAATAACTCAGGCATAGGTCACTGTTTGTGTTGACTCTGTCGCGCAGTGCATGCAAACAGTGTCGAGTTAATCCTAACTACTTCTTTCACCACTAAGTTCTTCCGTTGTCTTAAACCACAGGACGACACTAGTTACATGGAAATTATTCTCAAGGTTGTCTGATTTCCACTCTATTGTATGCCATCAGCGGTATCCTACATATGTGAAGTGACTAATCATCAACGTTGCGATTTCCACTTCGCGAATATCTATGTTAAAGGTTTTCTCACATTCTAATACAGTTTCTTTCTAGATAAATATTCATTTTACCTTAGGTTGAGAATATTTAGGTTTGTAGTTGTATTGTGTTCAACTGTAATTGAGAATCGCTATGAACGTCAGCTAAGTGTTGTACAGAATAATGAATCAGTCACTTACCAACTCAGTAACCAACTACGTTTTCGTCCGCATCAAAATATTCAGTTGTATATCTCATAAATTAAATCCATGTATTAAGAACTGTCACAAAGCAACAGGTTGCCTTATTTATTGCTTCCCATTGACTACTATACTAAGTCGTATTGTCCGGTCACTCTTCACATATAAGCTTCTTGAATGGACGCTTCAAGTTACATTTCGACACCATTTATTTGGTAGTGGCTAGCAGTGTAGCTCACATGCCAAGAAGAATCGACCAGTCCGACCCAGTATCATAATTAGCGAGAAATAAGCATCAGTGAATAACAAGTGATACCTGTTGGGCGAGAAATGACTTATTTCGATAACCCAATGGATAACGGTCTGGAGTTTGAAGCGATGGGTGTTCCGTTCGAGTCTAAGTGGGGGACCAGCACCTCACCGGGTTGCAGTTACAGCTAGCTGAAGAGTCCCAAGTACGATGAAATACGCATCCATGATCCTACTGCTAGCTCCTACCAAACAAACGATGTGAAAATGATAGACCGTCTTATTAAGTTGAATGCCAATGTTTTGCGAAACTAAAATACACTACGTACCTTTTTAATTGGTGAGTCAACATGAATTCATCTTGTTAATTCAAGTTAGGAACATTGGGAAGCAACGTTGAAAGCTGAGGTTATGACGAAAAGTCACGGCCCCAACTGTTGCAAGTAACTCATTACAATCATCCTAGGAAGCTCAAGAGATTGAACTGTTAGTATATACAAGTTAGTGATATTATGAACGAGGTTCATTCGATTCAAGTACTAGGCACTAGATAAAACAGAGGAACTGGTGACTATACCAAAGTAGGTTTCTGCTCAAAAAGAAGTATTTAGGCTTGCAGTAAACAAACGGCGAGAAATGTAGTCGGCTTCAGAATGTTATTGAGTCAATTGCTGTTTCGAAAACTGAGTGCCTAAACAGGTTAGCCAGACTAATAAAAAGTACTTCCAGAATCCTGCAAGCAACTTTAGTTTAAAATGTGACTGCTGAATTCGTTCAACTTAAAGAAATAACTAGTAGTTGCAAGAAGCCTTTCAGTGATGCATGCACTGGATTGGAAAGCTTGTGAGTGAAATTCAGCAACCACTTTTGGCTGCATGAGCCTGTACTGAGACGTCTCTTGCTGAGTCTATAAACTAAACAACAATAATGTCCGTGGTCGGTAGTTTTATCTCTTAGGCTACACTAACGGTTTTTTTTAATAATGTATTTATACTTTTACAGCAGTAACTTAGTGACCACATATACCAGACAAGCAACTACACTTTCTGGGTAAGATCTAGTGCTCAAACCCATGGTCGTCACCTAGTCCTAGGATACCCTATGAAACAGTATTTTTGAACTATGTTAAACAGAATCATTGTAGTAACCAGGTGGCATCCCGTGACCACCAGTAGAGCATACTTTAGTAAATAAACACCTATGACAGTAAGCAGTGGGGTTAGTTTCAGGTGTTAACCACCGGTACGACGTAGGTAGTCATTAGTAACAAATATAAAGTGAGCTAAACCCACAAATAGAGAGTAAATTCACAGCCCAACATTTCGCATACATAATTCCGCAGCAGGTTCTTTCGGAATGCATGATTACCCAATTCACTGTGAACAAGAAGATTCATAACAATTATCTGACTGACTTCATATTAGTTCTGTGAGCACCAGGGTGTTACAAAACAAGAAGTAAAGTTTCTCAAGCACTGCGGGTGTATTTACCCCAGAAGTGTAAAAGGAAGACAGAAACTATGAAGCATAGACTCATCACTAGTACTGGTACGGGTCCAACTTTAATGCCAGGAGAGTCCTCTGAGTAAAATAAAAAGACAGGATTTTTCTGTGCAGCTGGTGCGACTGGTCTTCTTGCTGATGATGTCGCCCCCTAAAAGAAAAAAACAAACATTGAAAATACAGTTTCTGAGAATGGACACTTAGAGTGAGGTTAACTATTCACACTTCTAAAAGAAACTTCACACGCACCGTCGTAGTTGAGCGATGAGTCCCAAAGTCGCTGGCTTAAAATTAGTCTTCCTTATGCAAGACTGTCGGCTGAAAGCATGTTGTTGATTGGCACAAGTTAAGACGTAGATATTTGCTTCACAAAAGAATTCCCTCATTTTTGCTGTATTGCCACTTTAAGATATGGTACTATTCCATGACTGCTAGTCTGAGACCAGTAGGCTGCTGGGTCGGAATCTTTAGTACTCCAGCAACCAATGGGTTTCTGATTCTGTTGTTCAAAATTGAACAAACTGGCACAGATTTATTCACTGACTGTCATCAAAAGTATTTGGTTGTTCTCGCTCTTCATTATTTATCATGTCTGCTCCCACATACTCCCCGCTGATAGCTGCTAACTTGATGAAGTGATCGGGCTGGCATATTACAATGACCCAGCGAGCTAGAACGCTTGTTTCCCCGAGGTCCTAACATGTCAAAAAGGCCTGGTAAGACGAAAAGCAGTTACCATTGTACTGTGTACTGCTAAACTACGGTGAGGGTCCGAGTGTGAAGTCGTAGTGGTGGGTGAATCGGATGTCACAGCAGTAACGTGTCGGTCTTGAATGATCAGCAGTGCGACGCTGATGCTGCCTTCCTGGTGCGAGGGATGCTTGAAAAAAGGCGAGTCCCCAAAAACAGCAGACTCCTCCCTGTCCCATGGTCATCTAGTGCTATGGTTTTCCTTAACCCACATTATAACGATAAAATCTCAGCCCAATCCAACTTCTCCTAACACGGCACGTCGAACCAGGCGGTATAATTGGCATGCGCAGTACATGTCCAAGCCATCTCAGTCAACTAAGGCTTGCAGCCTATTCAATCGACTTGGTTTTCGTGCCTGATACCCTTCGTCCGACCTCACCATTGCTCACACGGTGGTTCCACCATACGCCAGCGATCCTACGAAGACATCTATGATCAAAACCCTGTAATTGCCTTGTGTCTTCTACTTTTAATGGCCATCTTTCACAGTCGTATAACAAGACAGACCAGACTGCAGCGCAGTATACTCGTCCCTTGATAGTGGGATATCTTGCCATTTGCTGTCACTGATGATGTACGTTGGCAAATGCCAAACGAGCCTTCTGTATTCGAGCTGGGATTTCACCAGCAACTAGTCTGTTCGGGCTGATGCAGCCCCCCAAGTGAAGTGGTCCACACATTCCACCACTTCACTCCCTATCATTAAACTGGGAGTACTTGGAGCCAACTAGTCCTGGAACGTCACTTTACATATGACAGCTGCAAAACGCATTCTCCGCATACTGCAAGTAAACCAGAAGACTCCAAGGGAGTACGTCCATCTCCGTGAGGCTGGAGTTACTTAAGGCGATGTTCATTAGTACATCTATAGCGCGGTTGAACAATGTCAGTGGAGATTCCTACTGGACAACACTAGTTGTCGTCAGTTCACATGACAACTCTCCAGAAGTCCCAAAAGGGCTGTTTGAGTTCGAATAGAGAGCTTTGATTACCGTTATATATTTGCTTTGTACTCCTTTCTCAACCAGACTGCCAAAAAATCTCACATTCGACAGAGTCAAACACCGCCTTCAGGTCAAGAAACTTGACAAATGTGTCGCCGGTAAGCATACTTGTGCTCCAAAACCTGTCGAAGGGTGAGAATCTGATAGATGCTTTGTGGCTTAGGTCTAAAGCTAGCCTGGTTTTCTCGAGCTCCAGTTAAGTGTCGTGTAACTATGGACACAATGGTAGCCAAGCTAACTTCTCTATGGTTGTCACAAGAAGCTGGTAAGTGTACTTGCGTTCCGAAACCTGTAGAAGGGTTAAAATCTGATCGATGCCTCCTGATACAGGTTTGATACCTGATTGGTTTTCTCGTGCCTGTTGTCCTCTGATTCTCGTTAGGTGTCGTATAACTATGGACCCAAAGATCTTGGGCATGATATTAGTTAAACTGATTCCCCTATGGTTGTCACAAGAAGTTTCTCTCCCTTCTTATAGACTAAAATGATCAATGAAGTAGATCAGTTTGGTGGTACTACCTCTGATTGCCATACACTACCTAGTAAATTCCCTATCTTCATCCTTAAAAGCATCTGGTGGCGAACTATCGGGTTCTGCTGTTTGGATCGTTCCAGGTTTGACAGCCTCAATTTCAATGAGAATTGGAGAACGTTAAGTCTTTGGCTCTTACAATGGTTAAGATTTACATGTCATTTTCCCACCCAATAACGAATTCCAAGGAGATTCCTGAACGGCTTACTACCATACTTCTTAGCGGTCTATGTCGAACTGTTCCTTTTATTACTGGTAAGTACAGTTTTTGTAGTTGTTTACTTGCCGCCTTTACTTTTATTCGCATCAAAAACATTACGACTGCATTCGTACCGAATAATTGTATCAGGCAATGCATCCGACGCAGTCCTTGGGGCCCATAATACATGATATTAAAACTATCTTTCATCGTAAACCTCGTTTAACCTCCAAAGTAGAAGTGATTTGAAACGCACTGTGAATGACTTTGAGATATACTAATCAGTCATGAGTCTTGTCATCACTAAGAGAAAGCATAAACGTTCCTAAACTGCCAGTTTCAATTTGAAGTTCAAAATGACTGCAAAAGATTGGTTGCTTCTTCAGTTTTTCTTAAGATTGCATTTTTGCACCAAATTCGCGTAATAGGCGAATCTCATCTGTATGCGTTGAAAAAATAAAAGGATAGTTGGGTAAGTGGTCAACACGAGATCACTAGTGATATCAATGAGCACACCCACACGTACGTTATCTCTCCAGTCCTATTGGACAACTATATGTTATTCTTTGCATCATTTCTACTAATATATTCAAGAAACGAAGCGCACCCACCTTTTGCACATCCGTGCAGTACACATTGAGCCATACCTACCGTGTGAAGGCCAGTAACACTAAGTGGTAGTCCAAACCTCGGCAGGCGGAATGGGGTTCAAACCAATGACCCACCAGTTAACAGTCATCTTAGACCACTGAGCCACCTGATATATTCAGTAGGTAGCAATTCATCTTCTTAAGTGTGTGTGCTACGAAAACTGAATGAATAAGAAAAGTCGACAGTTGCTACCGTAGCGTAGTGGTTGGGCTTGCATATCACAATGACCGAACGAGCTGTACTAGGAGGGCGCTGGTTCCTTCGAGGTCCTACAATACTAGGAAAGTCAGTTAGGTAGTTCTAAGGTAGGAAGCAGTTACCGTTGTAGTGTAAATTGCTGCACTATGATGGGGGTCTGACGGTGAAGTCGTACTACTGGCTGGATGGGATATGACAACAGTAAGGTGTTACCCTTGAATGACTGACAGTACCATGCTGATTCTACTTTCCTGGTGAGGTGGGATTCAAAGAGGTCGGTCCCCAAAACAACAGACTCCTCCCTGCCCCATGGCCCTCTGGTGCCAACGGTATAGGTGTTATAACAACCGAATTTCAAAACAAAATCGTGTAAAAGACCGTGTATGACATACCTCGAGCAGATGTCCCATGGGTTCTGCGGTCACATTTTCTTCTCTTCCAGATGCCTTAAGAAGAAATAGCCTTCCACAGTGTGGGCAGCCGGGATGTGTCAACCGCCTGCATGCTTTCAGCACTACACAAGACCCAGTTAGACGTGACTCATCCTCTTCAATTGTCTCCTTTACCTTCACCTCCTCATACTAATATTAAAATTTTACACCCTACTCAACCTCTTATTCTGTGACCATTGTCGACGATTACCGCTATCGAAACCTCATTTTTGTTCTCCCAGGATCCCGTCAACAATTCCATGTAGAAGCTTTCAACGTCCCAACCCTATGCCAAATCTAACAGTAGGCATCATCCGCCAAAACTGGAATGTCTAGTCATGAACGTGTGCTGTATCTCTGAGGCACGTAAACATGACCCTAATGTGGTTATTAAGTGACCTCACCTGGACATAGTAGTGAATCTTCAACACTCACTTTCAGAATCCGGAGACCAAACTGCCAGCTCTCGTGGACTCGTTGGTGTAGGCGTAACACTGAGTTGTAGAGCAGAAAGTGCGATCCTCGACTGGATAACGGTAAACATCCGTCTGTCTGTGAGCTGTTCGACTGAATAGGTCTGTAAGAGCCAGAAAGGATAGTAATCTCCACCTACACACTAACTGACTACAGTTCGGATGATGCAAAGGATGAATTCTGTGAGAAACTATCGGCATTGTTGCAGAGAGCAAAAGGTTTAGATGTAGTCATAATGGCAGGTGATTTTAACGTCCAAGTAGGGAAGTTAAGCCAATCGGAAAGGCATCCGAGAAGTATTTACGGAATCTCATTCCAACGAACCGAGAACAGTGATTGTCTGATGTAATTTTGTTCTGAGAACCATTTATTTCTGGTTAGCACTAACTGAGAGCTTAGGGAGGGATACTGTCTCACGTGACATCCGACGACTTCAAACCAACGATGGAATCAGATAGATTATATCGCTGTACACCATCGTTGTAGAGGATTGCCACTCTTTCTGGAGCAATACTTTGGACTCTGATTACACGCTAGTACGGGCCATGTCTCACAGTCGCATAACAGTACAGACCGGACTGCAGCGCAGTATACTCGTCGCTTGATAGATAGTTGGATATCTCGCCACTTAGTGCAACAGATGATGCACGTTGCCAAATGCCGAACGGACATTATGCATCCGTTCGAGCTGATGCAAATCCCTAAGGGAAGTGGTCGACATATTCCACCACTTTACTCCCTATCACTCGCAGCAGACTAGCCTTGGAGCATCATCTTACATTTGACAGCTGCAACACGCATGCCAAACATACTCAGGGTTCTGCTCAACGCGTTCAGAAAACCCTGCATTTTATCAGCGTCTTCAACCGGCAGGACAATATCGTCTGCATACTCCAAGTCAACGAGATGACCTCCACTAGATCAATCCCTGTGAAGTCAGACATACCCAACGTTATGTCCATTAGTACGGTCATGACGAAATTAAATAGGAACAATGATAATGGACATCCCTACCGGACACCACTAGTTGTCATCAATTCATATGAGAAATCTTCATAAGCCCTGACACGGCTGCCTGAGTTCAAGCAGAGGGCTTGGTTAGCGTTATATACTTGCTCGGTACTCCCTTCAGCCAAACACCCCCACAACACCTCACGGTCGACAGAGTCAAATGTTGCCTTCAGGTCAAGAAACATGGCAAGTGTCGGCAAGCGGTAAGTACTCTTGTATTCCAGAACCTATTGAAGGGTCGAAATATGATCAATGCACCCTTGTCAGTCTGAAAACTGCATGGTTTTTCCGAGTATGATGCTCTCAAGTTCCAGTTAGGCGTCGGATAACTATGGACCCAAGGATCTTGGGCATGATATTGGTTAAATTGATTCCCCTATGGTTGTCGCAAGAAGTTTCTCTCCCTTCTTATATACTAGAATGATCAATGAAGTAGATTAGTCTGATGGTACTACCTCCGATTTCAATGTTGAGGTTGGAAATCACTCGGTAAGTTATTCAGATCACAGGAGTGGTTTCTATCTATTATATATATATGATCATTTTGATTGAGGTAGCCGTGGTTTGGCAGACTCGTATTTATACTGGGTGATGACTAAGCAGCCAGTGTGAATACGATCAAGCATCATCATCACTAATATCAACATAGGACCAGGCATTACTGCTTAACGGATCGAGTTGCTACAGCTCATATCATTACATCAGGTAGAAAGGTAGTGAGGTGAAAGATGAAGATGCGGAAATTCAGTCAAAAGAAATATAAAGTACGAGGAGAAAGAAAGAAAGGATGAAAAATGGTATAGCGTCGTTAAGATGAGCATAATGTATGTTTACATCTGCGCCACTGACATCGGTTCTGTGCCATATCACCCAGTCTTCAGCCACTGGTTCCTCTTGTCCTGCGGACCCAAGAAGCCTGTTCATTAATTTGACGGAGGGTGCGGACACTGAAGGCTCCAATATGTAATTTGGAGCGTGGTTTAAGGAGACCAAGGATGCTGTTTTATGAACTCAGATCGTTGTCGAAGGCTGCAGAGCTAGGAGAAATTGAAGATGATGTAGCATCGTTAATTGAGAGACGGTAATGGTGGGGGAGGTGGATAGCAATCTGAGGAAACTTGAGTGCTGACAGAGTTGTGAGGGCGGTTGACACCGGCTGCCCACACCGTGGAAGGCTACTTCTTAAGGTACCTGAAGATTTGTGTGACCGCAGAGCCCATCCGAGATCTGCTTGAGACCTGTCACACTCAGCTTTTTGTATATGCTTATTTTCAGCTTTTGTATTTTTGGGGCCGGATGGTCGAAAGGAAACGACAAATGGACCAACACCGCCAGCCCGGCGGACTGTGGGGTATGGTGGTGTGTTATTTTTTGGGACCGACCTTTTCTAACCCCCCCCTTCCACTGAGAAGGCAGCATCAGCATGGCACTGCTGGTCGTCCAAGGGAAAAACCTTACTGGTGTCACACCTCATCCAGCTAGCAGCAGTACGACTTCACCCTCAGACTCCCATCATAGTGTAGCAATTTACACCACAACGGTAACTGCATTTCTTCTTACCATCATCCAACAGACCTTTTTGGTATGGTAGGACCTCGAGGGAATAAGCGTTCCACCAGCATAGCTCGTTGGGTCATTGTGATATCCAAGCCCGACCACCACACCAAGGTAGCAGCTATCGGTCGGGTATACGATCAAGCGGTAGTTACACATCCCGAATTCACAAGGCAGTCGAGGAAAACCTATGGTGGTTGAAATGAGATAAGAATCTAGTCAACAGTTGGACCTCGTAGCTCAGTTGTTGAACATCGGACCAGGAACCGAGCGGTCGCTGGTTCGAATCCGGTTGTGGTCCGAATTTTCATTTCATCTTGGATTATATATATATATATATATATATATATATATATATATATATATATATATATATATATATATGAAGCATCTTAGTCATCTTTCGCCTGGTTTTTCCTACCTAGGGTGCTGTGAATTCCAACAGCTTCAACTTGTATAAGGTCCCACCTCAATTTTCCTATTCATTTAAAAAGTTTAAGAATAAACCGTGGTGATGATTGCCTTCAGTTAAACCAAATAAAATGATCAGTTAATTATGGGAAAGAGGTTCGCAAGGAAGAGGCCATGATATTAATAACTAGTGTTGCTAAAAAGTCTACGTTATTTCGTGCGGATTTAGCATCCGAGGAAACGATCAACTGCGATCCAGCATATCTTCTTACGAGCTATTGTAAACCAAATGATTTCTTTGCACTCGCTTCTATGTCTTGCGGAACGGTTCCAGGCGTTTGGTGGATTCCGATGCAGTAGGCCTACCCGATCGACTGCTGTAACTCTCGTTAGCCCAATGGCCGGTTGGGTGTTGGTTAACTTTGTAGGGAGCGTATGGTTTTTTGAAGGACTGTGGTGCAGATGGGTTCCTCAAGTGTCGTGCTAGCAGACAATTGGTCGGACTGGTTGTACAAAGAAGATAAAACATTTGTCCAAAGTAGTCAAGGGAGAGGAAGCGTGAAGAAAAGGAAGCAAAAAAAACCGTTAAGGTGAAGGGAAACGGAACGGAGGAAGGAACCCGGTAGATTCATGGGAGAAGAGTGATAGGGAGAGGTTTCTTTAAAGTGTGAGACTATAAAGTCAATAAAAAGAGAAAGAGCAAATAACATTATAAGACGGCTCATGGGAATAGAGATAGTAATACTATTGGTAGGAGACGGTAACTGGAGGAAATATCTACAGGGAAGCATAAGGCTGAGCCAGGTTCACGATGATAGTGGCATTACAAAGAATTCGGTAGGCCATGCTGAGTTGGGTTGCATCAACCTAGTCCATATCGAAGCTGGATGAGCGCAAACCGTATTTCGCTGCGTAACTTTCCAATCTTTTTCTGAAGCTGTCAACAAATGAAGCAGTAGCAATCTCGACAGGCAATGCGTTCCAGAGGCCGCAAACTCGTGGAGAGAAGTGTGGACGCAGACGGGTTTTCGCCTTTTGATTGGCGATCCTCCCTGGGTTACCACGAGGATCGCCACAGTGGCTGTCTAGTAGGATTCAACTGTTTGGATGACTTAGACTACTTAGTGTTTTAAAAGCCGTTATCGAGTCACTACGTAATCTGCTGTAGCTAAGAAAGTCGAGTCCTAGGTGTTTCAGCCTGTCTTTATGGGGTTTTTGACTCATTATCACGACCCCCTTTGTCGCTTGCCTTTGGACTTCCTCCGGGAAGTCCCATCCCTTTTCAGGTATGGTGGTGCAATGATCTTGTGGACCTCTAAGTGAGGTTGCATGTAGGTCTTGTAAATGCAATCACTAACCAACGACTTTGTTACCTCGAATAAACATATTAGTAATCTATCTTCCTCAAATCTAACACTCATAGGATTGATTGCTTACTTTATGTAGTTCCAATTGTTTTAAAAGGGCAACTTATAAGTTACTCAATTATTTTGATGCATGCATAGAAAAATACTCACCTTCCTTTGCCGGACGCCTCCTGCAGATCCTCGTGGTGAAGCTGTAGCAGACTTGGATGAAGCAGAAGATGGCGTAGGCTAGAAACCCCACAAGATTAACAAATAGAAAAACAACCTCACCATTTCGCGGGTTAAAACGTATGTTGAAGTACGTGTGTCCCAGAGTTGTATATATGACTAGCTAAAACAAAGTTGTTGAGTACAATATTCATAATAGCTACCTTTAGTTTTTTTCGAAATGTATTGGTGAGACTGAAAGGGAACAACTTGAATTCGGCATCAATTTTCCATCACATCCATCAAGTAATTTTTTTGTTAGACTGTGATGAACAGTGAGTAGAATGCATAAATCATTAAGTATTTCCGATTTATGTGGAGGATTAACTTCTAAATCAAGACAGGAACGCATGGAGTGGCACACTGGACCTTTTCGGACGGAAGTATTTCTTCCGGCTGCAATTACTGGGGAGCTCAAACAAAGAAGCTGGAATAATGCAGCCTTCATCTGGTCAAACAAATTCAGTTACAGTTTTCGCAGGAAAGGATAACAAACCAAGTGTCCTGAAATGGTCATTTCTGTATTCAGCGCTGTGAATATACGGTTTTACTTCATGCGCTCACAAAAATCAGGGGGATCATGTGCCCCGGTTAGCAATTTCCTGGTATCGAAATTCAGTTCGGGTTTAAGGATGGATAGTCCTCAAACTTGAAAGATGGGGAGACCGATCATCAATTTTCCGTGCTTTTAGTATGCTTGCCGGCATGAGATTGAGACAGCACACGGCAGAGGCATATCGCAGATAGGGGGGTGTTCTAATCATGCTGTCCAGAACTCTAAGAAATGGCTTCGGGCCTGATCTACCTTCTTTTTTCCTGCCCATTGAGCCAAGTCACCCCAGAGAATGAAGTGGGGGGTGCAAAAGCAAAGAAAAAACAAAACCGCAGAATGCTGGTTATCGCATCGAGTGATCAACTCCTGGAACTGACTCCCAGGACAAGCAGCGTCCGCATCATCGGTGGACTTGTTCAAGAGAGGATTGAGCAAGCACAGAAATCCTCTGGAAAAGAATTAATATAGGCCTATAGCCTTCTATTCTCGAACAAGAAACCTGAATCTGAATCCAAGTGGTCGGGTGGAGTGGTGTATATGACTGACCGTGGCAGACTGCTGGTGAATTCCGGCCAGCTAGCTGGAGGATCGTCTACTCACGGTGTAACTTAAGCGATAACGTGTCAAATGTCATGGCAGGTCCCACACGTGTCTTCAGTTTGGAGAGCCCGTTAAAGATACGAAGGTTTATGTCAATGCTGAACCTCGTCGAAGCCTATGCTGTTGATTCTGGGGGTTGTTCGCGGCTACATAGGACCCCTTGTCATAAACGTTTTGCTCTTATTTTCCAAACCACCCATGATATTTCATCTGCCAACTTCTCGCGGTTGTATATATCCAGTCAGATATTTCGGTCCTAAAACCGTTACTCGTGGTATGGGTGGCCAGCATGTAGTTTCCGTATATTAAAACCTTGCAGCAGACATTCTCCGCATCATCGCGGAAAAACAGTTTCATTTAGACGTACTTTCTGTCTGCCTAATGGTGTGCATAGTCGCGCTAGCTTCGGAGACCTGTACCCCACCAATACAATTCCTATCTGGATCGGCGCCCCGCGTCCACCACATCGTTGCAACCCCGTGTGCATAGTTGGCAGTGAACCAACGACCTCAAAAAGAGCGGTGTCTCGTGGTGTACCCCCTCAACAATCAATCAACATTCAGTATCAGATAAACGTCCAAAATACCCATACATTAGCCTGGCGGCGTGCCGTACCAAATGTGAGCTACATCCTCTGCGTTCCCCTCGTGGTTTTGGGTTCTGACACAGCTACCACCCAATAAAACCTACCCTCTTCCAAATCACAGTACAGTCGGTTTACCACCAAGACCTTCTAGCAACTCTACACCCGCAAATGAACTAGGTGCACATATGCTGCCTGGTGCCACTTCAACCGGCCGTGTCTAAAAAAGCAGTACTGCGGTGCTCCTGTCTGTTTAGTGAACGTGAACGCTTTCAGCAGCGTTACCCCCCCCCCACTTGTACATCGTTCTCGTATGTGCAGGGTCCATTATATACAAGCCACCAGTACCCAGAGGAGTCGCTCCTCCAAACCGCCAGTGACAATCCCCACTGGGTCTTGATGTTACGCAAATGTGCCAGATGAAGTAATAGGTACTGATATATGCACACATTTCTGATGCAACTGGAGCAACAAGAAAGGAGGACGTTGCTAGGTCTACTTCGTAAACACCCAATTTATTGAGGACAGAAAATATGGCCCCCGGCAAGATAAGCAACCCCCAGTGGATCACCATACACTGCAGGAGCGCTAAAGTACTGGTTGGACGCACCCATAGCACACCTGGTATCTTCAATAACGGCGAGACTCCGCCAATTGCAGTTCTAGGACATGCATCCCCTTTCTTTACAGTCACAACAGCATATGCGGTGACTTTACTTCGCCTGAAATCAAGGGGAATTCATTTACTGGTCTGACTGGTCGTGACGTTTCCATGCAATGGCTATCTTCCGATAGAAACAAACTGTTACCACTTCTATGAGAGGTCAAAGTGTAATAGACCTAATATTTTGCTACAACACAAGCCACCTTTTGACACATGCAGGCGGTGATCAAGAAGTGCCATCGTATGCATTACTTTCAACCGGGAAATCAGTTGATACTTATGTTCCACAACAAATACTGTGTATAGAGACCACCACACGGCTGGCAGCGAGATCGTGTGTACACGTGTTGGGGATTAGACTTCGCCACTGCCAAACCCAAACTGGCACTGAATACGTTTTGCCACAGTTCCAAAACCTACATCGTCCTCCCGTTAAAAGGTTTCAAAAAATGGCTAGATCCAAAAGCCATCTAAACCTCCTAATGCTCGACTGGAGTTGCGCGAACATTCGACGAGATGTCATCGAAAGTCCGTCTTCAATGCATTTCGATCTATTCTCAACGTTCTTAATTCTACCCCACAAAAGGGTGATACTTCTAGAATTATGGGGAAAGTTATCAGGAAAAGCGTCTATCGGTACGTACATAGTAAGGGCGTCATCACATTCAGTGAACATGGGTTCCCAAAATCGCGGTCCTGTACAACTCGTCATCCTAACTTCCTTAACTTCATAACTACTGTGAGCGACTGACACCAATTGGTCCTTGCATCCTATCCAGACATTTTCAGGGCGTTTGGCACAGCTGGTCGCTTACTGTCAATAAATAAGTTGAAGTCTCCGGGACTCGACCATCTATTAATGAGATTGATTTGATCTTTTTTCTATAGTTGCACCTAAGTGGCGAATGTAGACTCACACTTCAAAACCTAAGCCTGTTATCTCTGGCATGGTTGTAGGTGGTATATCAGATTGCCTTCTTTTCACTCTATACATGAAAGAAATTTGCAACTGCCCTGCGTATGGTAAACCATTTTCGTTTGCTGATGACCAGAAAGTTGCGTACACATTCGCTCATGCTGATTTACCATACTCTCAAGTATTGACACAAAGATGGCTTGATATAGCATCCACATGGTCCAGCTCTTGGAAACTCCGTTTCAACATGATCAACTGCAGCTGGATATGTTTTGGTCCCCTATCGGTGGACGTCAAGCCACATATTCGGTCTATGAAGTTACCCGTTCTCATAAGTGTCGATGACCTTGCTCTAAGATGGTCAGCTGACCCCGCGTTTTCTGAGCACGCCGCATCAAGGACTCGCAAATCTAGGAACTTATTGGGTTGCATAATCCGTAACTTTCACTTCGAAGGCGCCAAGTTACCGCTCTAGAAAACCACGGGTATGGCCAACGTAAGAATACTCTCCGTCTAAATTGAATGTCATTCCCTTCAAAAACAGATTAAAAGTAGGGAATGTACAAAGGTATTTTACTGCCAGGTTACTAGGATACGGTTGCAAACAGGACTACAACTCTAGATGCGGAACTACAAGCTTAGAACCCCTTTGAATGAGAAAACTCTAAATTAACCTGAAGCTCTTCCTCGATGTGCTACATAAATTCACTTTTACAGACCGTGGTGAGTTTCAGTCCCAGCACAACAGTTGTTACGATCCGCACAATCACGCCCACAGCGTCGCAACGAACCCGTTCAAAACCTTCTGGCCTACAATGTTCCTCACCGTCAAATTCTATTAGATGCCGAATAGACTCCCTGCTAGAGCGAAGGCCTCAAAATCAACCTATGGATTCGGTCGGTTGCTAGTTAACTCCTTATCACATGGCACATTATTCGGCTGGTAGAGTACACCAACACCGTCCTCCACAACATTCCGCACACCGGGCCCTTTTCTTATGTATAATGAGACATCCATCACACCTCCAATGGCCTTTCATACAAGGGGTTGCAGAAATTTCCTCAAGTTATCACCTCAAACTAACGGCGCGTTCTGCACAACACGACATAGCAATCAGAGTGGGGGGTTCTACATTGCATGATAAAGCAAACTTTAAGTTCTTACATATTCAATAAAGAAAGCACATGCAATGAATGCCTCAGCAAAGAAAGTTAAGTAAGGAGAAACGCGCAAATGGGAAACACAATCCTTGTCGGAGTTCCTGCTTTTCTGTCTGCCTCCTACTTTGTTTTTTACTCTTTTTAAAAAGAAAGTCGGTTCCAACTCCTGGCTTAGTCGTCGATGAAAACTAGTTATCCAGGGAACATGTCTTGGCTGAAACTACCATCCGTGGGGGGTAGCCGGTGTTACTGCGTTCACAATACCTAACTACAGAAAGCGGAAACAAGTGCGGTCCATTGGACTACAACCTCATGGTTATTAAAACCTGGGATTTGTTGATTTTGGGAGTGACCAAGAAAGTCTAACACTTGCGGACCACATGGCTGTCACGACCCATCAAAAATACAGACAGGACCTCCTGGAAATCCACTTGGTGCATTCAGACAAGTCTATTGCTTCTGGATGCTGGGGTTGGAGAAATGAAGATATTTGTCTCTCAGTCCTAATATTCAGCCAGGTTATGAATCTTTGATGCGTACATGAATTATACGGTTCTGGAATCATCAACGAAGTACAATAAAGAACCAGTTGTGTTTACATGCCTTTAAAACTTTTCTTCATTATGCCAAGCAGAAAGTATAAACTGTTACAATACAAGCACTGGCTTCAAGCCTTATTCTTCACGTAATGCATGTGATATCGAGACAGAAACCTGGTTTATTTTGCTGGTGCTAAGACAATACTTCCACTCGCTCAACCTGTAAACTTTCGCATACTTTTCTTTTGGGGGTGTTTCACCATGTAAGTATTCAGCACTTATATCTTCTAGTGGCACAATAAGTGGGGAATAAGGCTGCCT